CCCTAACCCTCAAGGGGCGTACGATCTAAGGTCCCTAACCCTCAAGGGGCGTACGATCTAAGGTCCCTAACTCACATTCATACATTCATACACATACTAGGGACAATTTAGACAGGAGCCAATTAACCTACCAGCATGTCTTTGAGGTGTGGAAGGAAACCGGAGTACCTGGAGGAAACCCACGCAGGCACAGGGAGAACATGCAAACTCCAGGCAGGTGGTGCCGTGGTTGGGAGTATGGTGTATATTGCACATAGGGACTACAAATGAATTTTTGATATACCATGGGGATGGGATTGTCATTCTTGGACCATTCATATGACATTTTATAGTAAACATTTGTCTCTTATTGTCCCCAGGACAGAGATTTCCCTGCACTTCCTGTCCAAGTGCTGATGGGGCAGAGACACATACTCCATGTAGACACTGACAGCATTGTACCACCTCCATCTAGATCCAAGAAATACCTTTTTCCTTCCTAAATGTTTTTTGGATTTCCTAATCTGCTCCTGACACAGCGACAGCTGGAACCTGATTGGCTGAAATCAGTGACACCATATCAACACTTTTTTTTAAATATCCTTCCCAAATCTGCGTAGCTTGTTATATAATCACTTCTGGGCCTCCGCCTACTTTATTATAGTAACCGCCCATTCCAGATGAGTCATCTTATCTCCACCCTGCAAGGCTGGTTAACTCCTTCCCTGCCACACAGATGTCATCTCTGCTTCATCATTGCAATGCTGGGGAATGAGGAGTGCAGAGCTGGAAGTCCCAGATCTGAAGAGCAGCCGGTAGGCCACGTCTGCCCACCTAGGCGTTAGTGATAGGTTTCAGTGGTATGCGCGTCAACATCGGTCGGCTTTGTCGATACGAATTGCGCACCACATGGGTTAAAGCCTGCACCGACAAGCAGGGAACAGCGCCCCCTACAGGCCCAGCACGGTCTGCAAACAACAGGTTTCAGCACCATATAACGGTCCACAGCTGTTTTGGCGCTGAAAGCTACAGATCAGGAATTCAAAATCGGCAAACGTTGCACAACCTTAGATTTTTTTTTTTTTTTTTTTTTATTTGAAGCTCTGCGGTGCAGTGCGCACACTCGATACGAACAGCGGGTGCAAAATACAAGTGAGCAAACACAAGAAGTGCACAGAGTGACACCCCCCCCCCCCCCCCTTCATATCTTACAAAATCTGAAGCATTACTCATTAAGTAGATATCTGCAGGACCCATGACAACTATATTTGTGAACTTCTTGTTGGTTGAAGGGGGTGTAGCACATCATACCAACAAGAAACTCAAATACGGCACCTCCTGCCTGGAGTTGGCATGTTCTCCCCGTGCCTGCGTGGGTTTCCTCCGGGTGCTCCGGTTTCCTCCTACACTTCAAAGACATGCTGCTAGGTTAATTGGCTCCTGTCTAAATTGTCCCTAGTATGTGTATGTATGAATGTGAGTTAGGGACCTTAGATTGTACACCCCTTGAGGGTTAGGGACCTTAGATTGTACGCCCCTTGAGGGTTAGGGACCTTAGATTGTGCGCCCCTTGAGGGTTAGGGACCTTAGATTGTACGCCCCTTGAGGGTTAGGGACCTTAGATTGTACGCCCCTTGAGGGTTAGGGACCTTAGATTGTACGCCCCGTGAGGGTTAGGGACCTTAGATTGTACGCCCCTTGAGGGTTAGGGACCTTAGATTGTACGCCCCTTGAGGGTTAGGGACCTTAGATTGTACGCCCCTTGAGGGTTAGGGACCTTAGATTGTACGCCCCTTGAGGGTTAGGGACCTTAGATTGTACGCCCCTTGAGGGTTAGGGACCTTAGATTGTACGCCCCTTGAGGGTTAGGGACCTTAGATTGTACGCCCCTTGAGGGTTAGGGACCTTAGATTGTACGCCCCTTGAGGGTTAGGGACCTTAGATTGCACACCCCTTGAGGGTTAGGGACCTTAGATTGTACGCCCCTTGAGGGTTAGGGACCTTAGATTGTACACCCCTTGAGGGTTAGGGACCTTAGATTGCGCACCCCTTGAGGGTTAGGGACCTTAGATTGTACGCCCCTTGAGGATTAGGGACTGATGTGAATGTACAATATGTATGTAAAGTGCTGCTTAAATTGACGGCACTATATAAGGACCTGAAATAAATGCGGGTGTCGCGGGGTGTTGCCAAAACATAAGCTGTAATATTTTTGGATCTTGGAAAGATATAGGGGTGGAGGGGTGGCACTTCTTAGCAAGAGCCCCCCCACACCTACCGTCTCTTACCAAGATCCAAAATGTTACAATTTACACTAGTAAATGGCCCCATGACAGCCATATTTTTTAGCTGCTTGATGGAAATTAAGGGGGGGGGGGTGTAGTACTCCTGACTAACAAGGAGCTCAAAATGTGGTTGTCATGGGGTAACTAACATTTTGGATCTTGGTAAGATATATCAAGAGGGTGTAGCATTTAATAACAAGTACTACGTCTACCCACCACCTCACATATCCTGTTAGTAAATGACCCCTCATCCCATGACAACCATATTTTTGAGCTTCTTGTTGGTCTGTAAGGGGGTGCAGCACCCCATAGCAACAAGGAGCTCAAAAGGTGGGGGTCATGGGGTACCTGTTACATTTTGGATCTTAAACTCCCATTGGTAAATGACTCAGCCCTTGACAACCATATTTTTGAGCTTCTTGTTAGTTTGTAAGGGGGTGCAGCACCCCAGAGCAACAAGGAGCTCAAAAGGTGGGGGTCATGGGGTACCTGTAACATTTTGGATCTTAGTAAGATATATGGGGGGAGGCTTTTGGTTAGGAAGAAGGTGTAGCACTTCACAACAAGTGCTACATCTCCTCCATATCTTACCAAAGTCCAAAATATAACTCCCATTGGTAAATGACTCCTCATCCCGTGACAACCATATTTTTGAACTTCTTGTTGGTTTGTAAGGGGGTGCAGCACCCTATTGCAACAAGGAGCTCAAAGTGTGGGGGTCATGGGGTACCTGTAACATTTTGGATCTTCGTAAGATATATGGGGGGGGGGGGGGGAGGCTCTTGGTTAGGAAGAGGGTGTAGCACTTCACAAGTACTACACCTCCCCCTTATCTTACCAAAGTCCAATATACTACAACTCCCATTGGTAAATGACTCCTCATCCCATGACAACCATATTTTTGAGCTTCTTGTTGGTTAGTAAGGGGGTGCAGCACCCCGTTGCAAGAAGGAGCTCAAAATGTGGTTGTCACGGTGTAACTAGTATTTTGGATCTTGGTAAGATAGATGAAGAGGGTGTAGCACTTCAGAACAAGTGCTATGCCTCCCCCATATCTTACCAAAGTCTAAAATTTACAACTCCCATTGGTAAATGACTCCTCATCCCATGACAACCATATTTTTGAACTTCTTGTTGGTCAGTAAGGGGGTGCAGCACCCCATTGCAACAAAGAGCTCAAGATGTGGTTATCATGAGGTACCTGTAACATTTTGGATCTTGGTAAGATATATGGGGGGAGGCTCTTAGAAGGTGTAGCAGTTCACAGCAAGTGCTACACCTCAAAGGGTTACACCTCCCCCATATCTTACTTTAGTCCAAAATATTACAACTCACATAAATGACTGCATCACCCCATGTCAACCATATTTTTGAGCTTCTTGTTGGTCAGTAAGCAGGGTGCAGCACCCCGTAGCAACAAGGAGCTCATAAATGTGGTTGTCATGGCCTGCTGCCAAAACTTCGTAATAGCAAGGCCCACCCTTCTCATATATTGCCAATTTCCAACATATTACAGAGTTTCTTGTCGGTTAGTAAGGGGGAGCAGCACATCAGACCAACAAGAAGCTCAAAAATGTTGATGTTCTGGGGGTGCTGCCTTAATCTAGTAAACTGTAACACTCTGGATCTTGGCAAGATACGAACAGAGGTTGGTTGGCAAGAGGGTGCAGCCCTCAGCAAGACCCCCATATCTTACCAAGATCAAAACTATCACAACTTACACTAGTAAATGATTGCAGCCCCAACATTTTGTAGCTTCATGTTGCTATGGAGTGCTACAGCCCGTTACTAAGCAACAAGAATAAAAAATATGGCTGTCGTGGGATGTTGCACTAATCTAACATACAAATATTTTGGATTTTAATATATCCAGGGTCTTGGTTTGTAAGAGTGCACCACCTCATAGTAAGGCCCCCCCCCCCCCAAGACCCAAAGATTTAGTTTACATTAGTACATGACTGCAGCACCCCAACAACCACGTTTGCTATGGAGTGGTACACCCCCTTACAAGCCAACAAAAATGATATGAATATGTTACGAACAGGTTTACTGCAACACCCCAATAACATTTCACTTTTTTGCCACACTAATGCACCCCCCTTTGTAATCAAGCCTGAACATGAACTATTAGGCAACCCCAGGCATTCATATTGCATCTCAGACCATCTGATTTGATCCATATTGCATCTCAAGATGCCCTTCGAATCCTTGCAGATCATACAGGATTTATATGGCGCCAACAGTTTGCTCAGCACTTTACAATAGAACGGGAGACAATACAGTTCAATACAAGAGGGATAGGAGGGCCTGATCCTTGGAGCTACGAATCCTTCGATCACCCACCTGCAAGTCGGCACTTCTTCCCCTCCCCGGTACTCAATAACCACAACTTTTGTACAAAAACAAAATCTTTTTTTTTATTTAAAAAAAAAAAAAAAAAAATCTTGGTACAAAAAAAGTGAAATCTACCAAGCACGGTTATATACGGCAAAGACAAGCCATGCAAGTTCAAAGAAAAGAATAAGAGTTCTCGCGGGCTTCCATGGAACGTTCCATTGTAACCAGAGAAAAGAGCGGCAGCAGGTTAACCCTTTCTGCAGGGATTGCACTCACATGCTGCGCGAAAACAAGTGCTGCCTAAAGTCACGTCCAACCTTCTTTATAAAGGCGAAATAAAAACAAAGCAAACGATAAAGTTCAACGATACAAAGTCTTTTAAGTCCGTAAAAGTTCATCTTATTTGGACTTCTTGGCTTTCAGCGCTTTGGGCTTGGCCGTCTTCTTCACCTTCTTGGCCGCCTTGCTGGGGGACTTCTTGGGGCTTTTGGCCGCCTTGCTGGGGGACTTCTTGGGGCTCTTAGCTGCCTTGCTGGGGGACTTCTTGGCGGTCTTTTTCGGGGTGCTGGCCAGCTTCTTGGCGGCCGGCTTGGCGCTGGAGGCTTTCTTGGGCACTGCCAGCCCCTCCAGCTTCTTCTTGTTGAGGCGGAAGCTGCCGTTGGCGCCGACCCCCTTGACCTGCAGCAGGGTGTCGTTCTGGACCAGGGCCTTGACCGAGTACTTCAGGTAGGTGCGGCCGTTCTGCTGGTCGAACCAGGACACCTTCTTGGCCTCGCCGTAGATCTTGGCCAGGGAAGAGCCGTTCCTCTCGCCCAGTTTGCGGATGGTGTCCACCACCAGCTGGCTGTATCTCCCAGGCTGGTTCTTCTTCTTCTTGGACTTTTTGGCGGCTGAAGAAGAGGACTTGGCTTGCCTGCTGGCAGCTGGGGCGACCTCGGTCTGGGCCATGGCTGAAGGTGATGGGTGTTCGCTGTGTGGGCTCCGAGCGTCCTCCCTCTCCGGCTGTCTGCAGCAGACTGACACTCCGTGCCGGCGCCCCGCCCTCTTCTTATATGCAGTATGCGGACCACGTTGAGAACAACAACAGCTCCAGCCCCGTCCGCCGCCGACTTGTGTTTTCTCCCGCGCCCTCCCCCCCTGTTTTCCGCCCCCCTGCACCCCCCGGGGCCGGGACCACCGACCCCCACCCACCCCCAGACCCCCCTCCACCGATCCCCCCGAAAACCCGGCCCTCCCCGGTGGTATTCAGCCCGAAATCGGCCGATTCCTAGGCGCACCCCCGGCCGTCGTAGCCCTAGCGGCGGGGAGGCGGTCTGTTCCGGGCCGGTTTTGGCCGGGAAGGGGGTCAGTGTGGGGGGAGGGGGGTGCCGGAGGGGGGAGAGGGGGTTCCGACGGGGGCGGGGCATTTTATTGGGGGGGTGAGGGTGGAGGGGGAGGGGAGATATGAGGGGGGGAAATTGGAGGAAATAACACAGAGCGCCCCTCACGTGATCCCGGCGCTGGAGGGAGATGGCGATGGTGGCACTCGGGGGGTGGGGGGCACTGATAGGGGGGGCATACAGAACATGGGGGGGGGCACACCTCCCGACATCATCCCTACAATATCCCACACCCGCGGGTGTATGTCCTCCAGGGAGGGGGAGGGGAGGGATACTTTATACAACTGACAGGATGGAGCCGCCCTCTGTCCACAATACAGACACAGCGACCCCAATCCATCCCACCCACTCAACCCCATCCATCCATCATCAGCTCCACCATCATCCATCCATTCATCATAATCCATCCATCATCAGCTCCACCGTCATCCATCCATTCATCATCCATCATAAACCATCCATTCATCATCCATTCATCATAATCCACCCATCCATCCATTCATCATCAGCTCCGCCATCATCCATCCATCATCATAATCCACCATCATCCATCCATCATCATCATCCATCATCCATCCAATCATCAGCAGCTCCACCATCATCCATCCATCCATCATTATAATCCACCCATCATCCATCCATGTAATCATCATCAGCTCCACCATCATCCATCCATCATCATCCACCCATCATCCACCCATCATCAGCAGCTCCACCATCATCCATCCATCATTATAATCACCCATCATCATCCATCCATCATCATCACCATCCCACCCATCATCATAATCCATCCATCATCCAACCCATCATCATCTCATCATCCATCCATCATCCATCCATCATAATCCCCCCTCATCATCATCATCTACCATCCATCCATCATCATCATCATCCATCCAACATCCACATCCATCCAACATAATCCACCATCATCCATCCATCATCAGCTCCATCATCATCCATCCATTCATCATCATCAGCTCCACCATCATCATTCATCATCATCTCCACCCATCATTCATCATCCATCCATCATAATCCACCCATCATCCATCCATCCACCATCATCATCCATCCATTCATCACCAATCCATCATAATCCACCCATCATCCATCCATCATCAGCTCACATCATCCATCCATCATCATCATAATCCACCATCATCCATCATCAGCTCCACCATCATCCATCCATCATCATCATCCATCCATCATCATCATCTCCACCCATCATCCATCCAAACATCCATTCATCCATCATAATCACCATCATCCATCCATCCATCCATCCATCCATCATCATCCGCCATTATCCATCCATCATCATAATCCCACCCATCATCCATCCATCATCATCAGCTCCACCATCATCCTTCCATCCATCATCATCCACCATCATCCATCCATCCATCCATCCACCCATCATCCATCCATCATCATCATCCACCATCATCCATCCATCATCATAATCCATCATCATCCATCCCATCATCAGCTCCCCAATCATCCATCCATCATCCAATCCACCATCATCCATCCATCCATTCCATCCATCATCAGCTCTACCATCATCATCCATCCATCATCATAATCATCCATCCATCCATCCACCCATCATCATCACATCAGCTCCACCATCATCCATCCATCCATCCATCCATCATAATCACCATCATCCATCATCAACCACCATCCATCCCATCATCATCATCCATCCTCATCTCCATCCATCCAACATCCACCATCATCCACCCCATCAGCTCCATCCATCATCATCATTCATCATCATCATCCATCATCATCCATCCATCATCATCATCTCCACCATCATCATCCATCATCCATCATAATCCACCCCATCATCCACCCATCACTCCACCATCATCCATCCATCCATTCATCATCCATCCATCATAATCCACCACATCATCATCCATCATCCTCACCATCATCCATCCATCATCATAATCCACCATCATCATCATCCATCATCAGCTCCACCATCATCCATCCATCATCATCCATCCATCATCATCATCATCTCCACCATCATCATCCATCCATCCATTCATCCATCATAATCCACCCATCATTATCATAATCCATCCATCATCCATCCATCCATCAATCTATTCATCCATCGTAATCCACCCATCACCCATCCATCATCAGCTCCACCATCATCCATCATAATCTACCCATTATCCATCATAATCCACCTATCATCCATCCTCATCATCCACCCATCATCATCCATCATCTCCACCATAATCATCATCCATATCATCATCCATCCATCATCATCATCTCCACCATAATCATCATCCATCCATCATCATCATCTCCACCATAATCATCATCCACCATCATCATCATCTCCACCATAATCATCATCCATATCATCATCCATCCATCATCATCATCTCCACCATAATCATCATCCATATCATCATCATCCATCATCATCATCTCCACCATAATCATCATCCACCATCCATCCATCATCATCATCTCCACCATAATCATCATCCACCATCATCATCATCACCATCATCATCCATCATCACCACCGCCTGAGTAGAAAAGCCAGTTGCCTGCCAGCCTGCTGCTTAGCAGGACTCTGTATGGAAGCAGTGGTCTCTCTTCAGAGGTCTGACATGCCCCCTGCTGAGTTAGATCTAGAAATCCCCAATCAGAAAGGAGCATGAGCTTTGCTGGTTACAGAGTTCCAGGGCTGACTCGGCACGAGGAGTGTTGGACCTCTGCAGAGAGACCACTGCTTCCACATGGAAGGCCCTTTGCTGCAGCATGCTGGTGCAGGACGGGGCAGGCTTTTCTACTCAGGCTCTGGCTGGCTTTTAGCTGATTTTAGTTCAGTTGGTGCACAAAGTCCATTTATATCCTTTCTGAATATTGAAGAATATATTTAAATGAAAGCAGTTGTAAACCTCAGACATGAAATGAACAAAGCACATCCCTCTGTAGTGTGTACGTGTCTCAATCCAGGGCACTAAGCCCTCGTGCACACGGGACGTTTTTACAGCGGCTGTTTTTGGCGTTTGACTTTTTTTTTCTACAGTCATGAAACCCCCCAGCATGTTATCCTAGGTGTCCATACATAGACTGGAATCGCCGTTTTTTGTCAGGGACTTTTTTTGCTGGAAAAATACCCAAAACTAGTGTGTTTCTAGGGGAGTTTTTTAGCTGTAAAAAAGCTCTAACGCTGAAAAATGCGGTAAAACTCAGCAAACCGGCGGTTTTGGATTCTTTTTAGCAACAAAAAATGCTAAAAACAGCTAACAAATGCAAACGCATAAAAACGCTAGAAAACACAGCTAATTGCAGCAAAATGCCGCTAAGCACTAATGCAAACATGCTAAAAAAGTTGAAAAACCTCGTTACCAGCGTTAGAAAAACGTCCCGTGTGCATGAGGGCTCAGTGTCATTTCTGTCTGCTTCTTGGTTCCCCTGTTATCAGCACCAGGGGCAGACTGACAACTCATGGAGCCCCCGGGCAATAGGGGATCATGGGGCCCCTGTGTCCTTCCCCAAACTCAAAAAAGCCTTTGAAAAAGGTACCAGGGGCATCTCATGGGGCCCCCTACTGACCCCAGGCCTTCGGGCAGTGCCCGAGTTTCCAAATGGTCAGTCCGCCCCTGATCAGCACGAGTCACTTTTGACAGGTTTTCCTGACGCCAAGAGAAAAAAGGTGATGTGAAGGAGCTTCAGCACACAGCCTGTGATTGACAGCCTCAGCTCTGTTCCTGGGTGCTGTGTAGAGGGGGGTATGTTCCTTCCCTCCAATCAGCTCTCAGAGATCTCCTCACAGAACTCTGCAGAGTGTAATTTCAGCTGTCTGACCCCCTTTTTTCTGAAAGCTCAGAGAAGCTGTATAAATTCAGGACTTTGAATGTCTGTAGAGAAGAGAAAACCGCAGATAAACAGGTACAACTTATGCAGGAGGATTTGTTTCTATCTCTGTGTATCACCAGCCACTTCACTGGGTATATGGAAGGGTTTACAACCACTTTAAAGTTTTGTGCCCAGGGCAATCTCCCAACACAGACCAGGGGCGGACTGACAACCGATGGGGCCCCCGGGCAATAGGGGATCATGGGGCCCCTGTGTCCTTGCCCACACTCAAAGCACACCCAAAAAAGC